GAAAGTGATTTGGTGGGTTTTTAGTGCGGGAAAAAATTTAAAACCCATGTTGGGGGCCCTTTTGGAAACACGGTCGACTGCATGCGGGAAAGAAAACTGAAAGGAGGTGACAGCCCAGCGCCTGCCAGGAAATAGCAAGTCATCAACATAGAGTATGCCCAAATATTTGATGGAAGATAGGGGCCAAATTTTAATAGCAAGGAAAAAAGTTTGTGCTAGAACACATCCCGGGGGGACCCCTTCAGCTTGGACAAAGTCCGGGGGGGCACTTTAAATTAACCCGAACACGGAAATGCCTGTCAGTTAAAAATTTCTTAGGAAGGTGGTAGATTGCCTGAAGGCCCAAAGGAGTGGGCTTGGGCTAAAATATTATCCCTCCAAGTTTGTCATATCCCTTTTCCCCAAGGAAAAAAAAATTGGCAATAACGAGTGGTTATTCGCAAAGGCATTACGAACAACGTATCCAAGCGAAATAAGGGGTTATGGAAACCCCTTACGAAACCCATATTAGGTGGAGAGACTGTTGTGTGCCCTTAAATACCACACAAAACTCTATTAACTAGACGTTCCATTACTTTGCAAACGCACTGGTAAGAGCAATGGGACGATAGTGGGGGTTTCTGTCCCGTAGTCCCTGGTTTGCGGAAAGGGGAACAATGGGGGATTTCCACAGCGGGAAGAAATCCTTGTGACCAAATAAGATTGTAAAGGCTAAAAGGAATGCAAGGGGTGACTGATGTAAAAGTTGTAGCATACAAAATAAAGCGTCGGGCCCCGCTGCCGTGATCGACAAGCTGAAGTGTTGCCTCCAGTTTTTTTGAAGGTAAAAGGGACATTTATGTTCTTCTTGAGAGAAGAAAATCCAAGGGGGCTAACTTTTCTGGCAAATTTTTAGGAAAGAAATGAGGGGGATAGATGGGTCCCGAGAAAAATACGGACCAGTTTATTGCCAATTTCATTGCAACATCTAGTGGGTTTTTCTATATCAAAACCGGCAACCCCCAGAACAGGGCCGGGTCAGGAAATATTTTCCCCTCAGTTTTCGTTTCTTTTTTCCAGAATGCACCATAGAGGAAGCAGAGGGATGGTGGAACATAATCTCGCCGCAAGTGGTTTAGCGTCACGGATGACCGGCGGCGATTGCACGCTTCTGTTTAAAATCAAGGGGTTTGCTCGTGGTTTTATTTTTAACCGGGACCTCCCCATGCAGCGCGTTTCAAACTACTCACGAGCACAAGCAGGGAAACCACCAAGGCACGCATTTCTGAGAATGCCTGCCCTATTTGGGGGATAGAAGAAATGGGTAAAACGGAGGACAGAAAGGGGTTAAAAAGCTCATCGGGTGGAGGACGAAGAAGGAACCTCTTTAAAAACAGTCAGGTGGAGTAAAGGGTTTCCAAATTTTCCCGATTAAAAATTGCCAGCGTGGGGGGGCGAAGAGGTGGCGAAAATGAAGGGGAAGTAAAAAAGTTGGGAAATGTACTGTCATGTAAGTCCCGGGGGAAAAACCCCAAATAAAGTCTAATGCGGCGGGGGAAGAGCAAAATGAGAGATCGATGCAAGAGAAGTATGAGTCCCCAGGATCAAAAGGGTTGAGTACCCGTATTAAAACATGGAGGGGGTGGGTGGCCCAAAAAAACCTCTAACTGAATTCCACGGGAATCACAGTGAACCCCCCCGAGGGAAAAGGTGGGGGATTAAAATCCCAAGTAACAGAATCGGGGGCGGGGAATGAAAAAACAAGGAAAGGGAAAATCCGGAATTTGAAAAATGCCCGAAAGGAGAGAGATAAAAAAACAAGCGTAAACCACCCCATGTAAGGGGGGGTCGGGCGCTGTGTAATGCACCGAAGTATGAATAAAAAACTGATGGTGAATATCGTGCGGAGAAAAGGGCACTTTCATTAAAAGTCCCCTCAGGAAAAGATCTGAAGATCAATAAAATTTTAGCCTGAGATGTGAGAAAAAACAGCAGAGTGTAAATTTTGGGTTCCCGTAAGCAAACACCCAAAAGGGGCAAACTGGGGGGAGTAACATCTGAAGCTCACCCCCGTTTTCCCCTGAGGGCCCGGGAATTTTCCCCCTGTAAAAAAGGCCATGATTGGTAAAGATAAAGATACTTGAAAAACCGGGTAAGGGTTCCCCACGGGCAGAAGGGTTTGGGAAAAGTCCCAAACCCGGGGGAGGGAAAAAGTTCAAGCAGCGAAGGGAAATGCGCTGTGAAGAAAGAGTTTCGCAGATGGGGGCAGAGGAGAGAAAGAGCGGAAAATGGATCAGTTTCCATTGATGGTTTGGTCCGCATTTATTTAGAGATTGCTTCAATGTTTCGGAATTCAGAGATTCGTATGGGGGACAATATTGGGAAAGGTAGGGGGGGGATGAGAAAGTTTTGGGAAATGTATTTGGGCTTACCAAGGGAGGGGGGGGCGAAAGGGTGGAGGGGAAATGGAGAACGTGCAGGGGGGCAGAAGAGACAGGAACCTGGGGGGGGCAGAAGAGGAAAAAACTTGGGGGGAACAGGGGAGGAAGTCTTACGGGAGGAGGGGGAAACCTCGCACTTGAACTGAGCCAGTGGAGGGGAAGAATAGGGACAGAGACGGGAGGGTAAAATGAGGAGGGGGAAGAGGTAGGAGGTGTTACCACCTTTTTTTTGACTTTTGAGAGTAAAGGGCGTTGGGAAAAGGGGTCTACGAGGTCCGTCGATCTGAAGGGTTTTTAAAAAGGAACTCGAAGAAGCAGATTAGGGGTGGGCGTTGAAGAGGGCGCGGGCCCGGGCAGCAAAAGGGGTTGATACAGGGGAGTAAGGGAGAGGTAACCACAGAGGTGGGTGTAGAAGATGGGGTCCGAAGTGGGGGCGTTTTGAAACACGGAAAAAGGAAAACACGTGGGAGTTCCCTTGGAGGGGAGATAGAAACGCCATGGCAAAGGGAACCTTCTGTCCTTTGGGTAACGGATTTTTCCCCCTCGTTTTTTAAAAAGACCTGGAAACGGCAGAGTACGAAGGGGGACCTCTTACAGTTAAGGCAAGAGGGAAATCGATTGCAAGGATTTGAATGGTTCGGCACCACAGACTGGGCATTCGGGGATAGATCTGCAATATTTCGCTGGATGGGCCAAATCGCCAGCAATTTCTACACTGTTGGGGTTTTGGGATCACCTTTTGAACTTGTAACCATGTCCTTTCATTAAACGGGGGGTGGGAGTTTTCCCCGGGTGTCAAAAGTTTAATGACCACATTGCTAGGGATCGTCTCCCCCCACGGGGGAGGAAGAATGTGTCTACCTTGAGGTTGGGAGATTCTTGGAGTTCCAGCTTTTCTGAAAGTCGGTGCACAGTCTGGAAATTTTGTTAACTATGGTATGGGCAGAAAACTTACCACACAAAATTGAGGGGAAAGATGTTTTTCAAGGGTGGGCAGGAAAAGTATCTAATGGAAAGACGAGAGCTCACGAGCCTGGTACATTCTGTACGGTAAAGATGCGCGAAAAGCTCTTAAAAAATGAAAAGAAATTCTTTACCAACATGCGTAATGCCTTGCCAATACTTGGTCAAAGTAGGCAGAGAGGGAAATTGGTCGAAAAATGAAAAAATTTAGTCCCCTGTTCAGTCTGAAACTGAGCGTGGAAAGGTAGTGAAGGACGTGCGATGTTTTTTAGAAGAACGGAAGGTGAAGGTGGAGAATATCATCAGCAGGGAATTGTCGTTGACGTTTAGGCGTGGGACCAGGTTTGGCCACGTGGAAAAGGTCGGCATTTGAAATTGCCGGCACCCTAAAGGGGGAGGCCGGAAGCATAGTAGAGGAGGCGAAGGCGATAAATCAAGGAGTAATGGGCCTCAGTACCTGAAGCGGGGAGGGGAAAAGCACCGGCAATAGGTACAGAGGCATAGAATGTTAAAGAGTGGTCCAAAACGAGGCGGGGTCAAAACGGGGTGCGGTATAAGAAGGGGCCCGGGGGTACTAGGTTCATGGACTGGGCGCCATGGTTAGGTTATTCTTTCTTTTTTTTTTAAAAAAAAAAAAAAAAGAAAAGAAAAAAAAAATAAAAAAAAAAAAAAAAAAAGGGGGGGACCGGGGGGGATAGTTCCTGGAGGAAAGAAAGGGGCCCGAAATTCCCCCGCGCCAAGAGGACTCGACAAACCCCCTAGACGCAGATGCAGCATGGAACCCGTCCATACCCCACCCTTCATCCAGTAAACCAGCAATCTGGGATAGCAACCTCAACCCGAGCTACCTCGGTGGACAAAAAGAGGGCGGCCGGATATCCGCCACAAAGCAAACCCCCTTCGCCACCACCCCCGGAATCCGAAAGGTGGCTTCCAGAATACACCCTCGCCCAAAAACACCCCAAAACTCTCCGGGGCCGAGGGATCGGGACATCCCCAGGAACCCGATTCCACGGGGAAACTACGCCCCCGCCAAAAAACCTCAACGGAATGGGATGGACCCTGCCTTTTTCCCCCCACCTAGGAACTGCGGCCTTGGGAGAAATCACGAAGGCTAAAAAGAAAGGGGTAAAGGGAGGGGTGAGGAGGAGGAGGGGGAAATGGAAAAAAAGGGGGGATGGGGAGGATGGGATAGGGGGGGGGGAGAATGGGGGGGTAATTAGGTTCGGGCTGAGGAAGAAGACCGACGGGGGTAATTCCCCCAACCCGACCCCTTCACCAGCCAAGGGGCCCCCCTTGAAGAGGACTAAACCCGTAGGATTATACAGCACCTAGGTAGGGGAGGTATTTAGGCTCAATTCAGGGAACCAGAGCAGACCCAACTCCCTAGATCAAGAGCCCCTCACCAGCATCCAGAAACCTACCTTGAGGAGCAGGATGGGGCAGAGGCATGTCGACTATTCAGGATTCAATCTAGGAGGAGAGGTTAACTTCCTCTCATCAGAGAACCCTTCACCAAACCAAGGGACCAAGTTTTTTTTTTTTTTTTTTTTTTTTTTACAAATTGCCTTACCTTTAAGTAAAGCATTCAGAAAGGGTTCAAAGTAAACACACGCATATATGAAACGTTTATTACGTTGATTTAGGAAAGCAATTTTGACAAGGGGCGAGAATTTGTTAGATTTTTGACCTAAACTACCACCAAAACATTACGCTTTATTATACATTTCACATTTGGCAGTCGACTTAAAGCGCTCATGATTGGTGACTTTCTAGAACATTTTTAAATATCAATATTCATGGGGAGGATGTTCATAACCATTAATGCAGATGACAATGAAAGTGAAAACTTTAATACCATTCTTTTTTTTTTAATACCGCCTGCTAGACAAACCGGAAGTTTACCTAGGAGCTAGGCAGAGTGCCCCACAAAGTACTCTACCTAATAAAAAAATTCTGAACATAAGTACAAACCCAGAGAAATAAAGCTCCTCAGTTGACTGGTCTTTAAATAAAGCAGATGAGAACTCACGGCATCAGGAGAGGTGGGATATCTTTTGATGGTCACTATACTGAATGGTGTATTCTCCCCTGCTGACAACAGTAGTGATGTTATGTGCCGACTGTTTGTCCAAAGACTTTAAATAAGCCAATAGAAATCCCGCCCAATGGCAATGTGGTACCATAATTCAAATTGCTTTCCATTCCCGCTGGTAACTCACCTGACTGCCGATCATTCTCAACAGCGACGAGAAAATTACATTACTCAAATATTTTCATCAGTACTCCATGCTTACATCCAACAAAGTCATTATCTACCGCATTTATCATCGATCTTTTAGACACCAACTGGCCACGACATAACAGTAAATCAGCTCAATTTTGTAGGGGGTCACATCTAATAAACCAATAAGTATTACATTATTAATCTTAAACGTACAGTGAATTCACGAGTTGTAACTAGTTACTGTAAAAATATTAACACCAGGAGTTTCAATTTTTTCTAGTTACCAATGAGAATCTATGGTTAATTTCTTTGCTACAACCACATGATTCACTGGTTAATTAATACAGTAACAATCTCTTTATACTTGTTGGTTTCATCCGCTGACTGTCAGTACGCAACGTTACATACAAAGAGGCGGGACCGAGGGAGCCCAACCCCCATGGGAAGTACAAAATGCTAAGTGGTTCATTTAGCAGTAATAAGTAATGCAGTCTGGCTGGCCGCCCCAACAGAAACGGCCAGCCGACCCAAGCGGCGTTTTCACACTATCAAACACTCTCCACGCTGGTCCAGAGCTCCAGTTAGTCCCATTGTCTATATTCACTTCAGTCTCTTAAGGTGGTGAACAAGAGCTGCAACACTCGCCGAGTAGCCTGTGCACGAATGTTAACGTAACAGCTGGGACTGCTCCTCAATGTTGAGTCGCAAATGCACTGGGAAAGAAATGAAAAGACTCCTCAATTCATTAACAAGCTCGAGGATGTCTTACAGGCAGCAGAGAGGCCGAGGGGCGACCGTTGTGGTGGTGTTGCAGCCACGAGTATCGAGGTGGTGAGCGTAGCGTCACTGAGGAGTGCCCAGCCGCAGCCTCGACTACTAGTAGCCACGCTGGCGGTGTGAAAAGTGAGGTGAGGAATGGTCGACCCTTAGGCATCACGACTTGAAGGTTGGAGTGTGGAGGGTCGAGTGAAACATGCTATTAGGGGTTGCGTTCATCAGTTTTGGTCACCCCCTTCATTAGCATCTTCCCCTTCGCCCTGCGTATCACTCGTCCAAAGCGTTAAGTTGTCTCTCAACAGCTGCATAATGAGCGTGGAGTCCTTATATGAATCTTCATTCAGTGTATCTAACTCTGCTATTGCATCGTCAAATGCCTGAAAGAAATACAAATGAAAGTGAAAAGCTAAAGTGTTCAAACCCATACTTACAATTCCTTAGTGGCTAAATTTTGGTCTAAAAATTTATAAATCATTTAAGTGGTTTTTGGCATGCAAATCTACACTGTATCAGCAAATCACAAAATGGCTATCTGGCTACATTAGTCTGATCAACTCTTCCTCATTTATGATGAGCATTTTAACATTCAGGCAATCACTTATTAATCAAGTATCAAGACAATCATGACAGGAGTAACCAAAAATATGGAATATTTGGGTAATCGCCGGGGCACAGGGAGCAACAGGTTTTCACTCAGATGTCATCAGCCATGCAGGACACTGTGCGTCACTGCACTCTCACGGCCCTAGGTGCTTCAAAACGGGGTGTGTGTGAAAAACAAATTTAAACTACCTAGTATCTTCACAAACCACATACAGTACTTCATTCCTGAAGCATGTTGACCCAAGAAGCTACTAGGTTTTCACACAAACTACATTAAAATATTGTTAGTTATAACACAAGGATTAAATAACAGCTAAATCTGTGAGTGATCTACACAGCTAACTGAGCTGATCCCATGACGCAGTGTCATGCAAAAGGGTCAAGGGGTAAAGTTAGCAAGTCACGCGAGTCGCAGCCGCTCGTGGGTCCAGGTCTCGTTACCTGCTTGGCTAAGTGACACGCTCTGTCAGGAGAATTCAGGATCTCGTAGTAGAAAACAGAGAAGTTGAGGGCCAGGCCTAGCCTGATGGGATGAGTAGGCTGCATCTTAGACTTGGCGATGTCGAAGGCCTCTTGATATGACTTCTGGGAGTCGTCAACCACAACTTGAACAAGGGAGGGCAAAATAAATAATAAAACTAAAGATTAATAGGGATCTGCACATGACAGATACGAGTTGCCCGTAACAAAGCATTATTACATGTTGCTCCCCGTCGCCACCGGTTCCCCTGCAAGGCGAAATTGTAGTACCTGTTTAGCTAGCTGGCATGCCTTATCGGGCGAGTTGAGGATCTCGTAGAAGAAAACTGAAAAGTTCAGTGCCAGACCCAGCCTGATTGGGTGGGTGGGCTGCATCTCTGCCTTGGCGATATCGAATGCCTCCTGGTAGGACTTCTGGGAATCATCCACAACACCTGAACAAAGAAATCGTGTTTGTGTTAAAGCTTACACACAGTAAAGTATTATAAAGGAGTAAGCCATATTATGATAGTGTGGAGTCATGCAAGTCACCTTAGGGTTAAGACCACCACCATGTGGCAAGGTTCTCCAATTATCCACACCCCCCCTATTAATTTACCAGTCCCAAGGGACCTCGCCCATCAGACCATGCATTAACATAGAAATTAACATACCAGTTATTTTCATTGACTTAGTTTTTGAATGCCAAATCATTAATTGATATACATTAAAATTTAAAGTCCTTACAACTAAGTTTTACCTAGCTATGATAGCACGAGCATGGTACCTTACAACTTTTTTCTTTGAATCTCCCTATTTGTGGTAAAGGAAAGGGTGAGATTGTGGAATTTCAAGTGCAATACCACCAAAAGCAGAGCGATACACAACTTATTCAAGTCACCTTGTACAAAAAATACTACAGGTTCTTAAGAGCTGTTCTAATCGATTTAAAGAACTAAAACCTTATGGTTTTATTCAGCACTAAACATTCTATTATGAACATTTAACAAGTTCGCACTATCACAAATTTCAGAAATTAATCACAATACATATATAACTAGTCCATTTTCCAGTCATATAACCATGACCATAAATCATTCCATATCAGCAAGGAGTGGGAGCAAATGTAGAAAAGGGGGAGGTAGAATTCCTGCTACTAAACCTTTTTGGTGTCAGTACTGTAATACTATACCAAAATTCTAGCTGCTTCCAATCTTGCAGGAGAAAGATGGTAGGCCTACATATGAGAGAATGGGTTTGAGTGGTCAGTGTGCACGCTCAGTATAAAAAATCTTGCAGCTTACAGTGCCCGAGGAAAAAAAAAAAAAAAAGACTGGTTGAAAATGGAGAATTTGCTGTGTATTTTCATATGGTATTTATGGTTTTATTCTAGTTTTCTTGGTGTCATTTGATAGAATGAGATGTATATTACAGAAATATAGATTTTGAATGGTTTATAGAATAAAAGTAGCTTCAAACCGAGTTCAAAGTTGCAGAAATGTGACTTGGCAATGTTCAAGAGTAAAATCACACATGTCCAATGCATGTCAACTGGTGGGTCTAATGTGCATTCATGAATGCACCGACATTTGTGCAATTATTACAATTATGCTGTAGTTTGAATAACTACAAATATCCGTGAATATTCAAAATTAAAAGCAAGCATAATATAAGAGGGGTGTGGAGATGTGATTAATGAACAGAGATTGTTACTTTGTGCCAGGAATGCCTGCATTGTTTATTCTGGCCCCTATTTTGAAATTCGCCTTTCTTTAATTGTACAAGAAGTTTACCAAATTAGTAATTTCTGATCACTTTGGTTAGTTGAAATGGGTAAATGGGCAGTTTCTTGTGCTCAATCGATAGAATAAAGAGTTCCAGCAAAACAGCTACAAGTTTGATCAAGCAGAGGAGAGGAATTGGCCCAAAATACGGCTCAAGATGACTCAAGAAATCGTAATGACACGATTGCAAACAAACCATACCCCGGCCGGGATTGAACCCGCGGTCATAGTCTCAAAACTCCAGCCCGTTGCATTAGCCACTAGACCAGCTAGCCACAGTAAGATTCATCCAACTAGGTATATTTCTACACCATAGGAAGGTTAGCACAGGCACCTCTGACCACAAATGCAAGTTTTTACAGACGAATCTCCAGCTAGCATGGCCGTGACAAACTCTAGCTCAAGTCCCTTCACTGCCGTCGACATGACTGGCTAGCTGGTCTAGTGGCTGAACGCGACGGGCTGGAGTTTTGAGACTATGACCGCGGGTTCAATCCCGGCCGGGGGTATGGTTTATACGGCTCAAAGCGGGCAAAATCGCCAATGTGTAAATATCATCTAGACTGACTTTGGGGGAGCATGATTCCTCTTGTAATGCCATAAGTTTTCCATCAAATTTCATACTTTTGATTTCATTATATTCAAAAAATGATTTCATAAAAAAATTGTTTACATTTTTGACACTGAGCAAGCTTGCGAGCAGGGAGTCTCAACACTCAAATGGTTCAGCTAAGCAGGAAGAGGGAGAAGGGGGGGGGGTTGGTCAAGGGCCAACTGATTCACTGCCTCCTTGCATGTAGAGAACCCTTTCTTATGGAGATTGAGACTCTGTTATTCAGGGTGCATTTGTTGGGTGGCAGGAGAGGTCTGGTGGAGGGGTATTATGCAAGTATCAATATGGTTTAAGAAAAGGTCACACTGCTGCTGAGCCGTTAATAAACCTCCACTGTCTACCTACCTGGAGGATGTTCTGGGGGTCAACACTTGTGGCCAAGTCTATAACCTGGCCTCCCAATCTATCAGAGCCTGATGAACCAGGCTGTTACTGCTGGCTGTATGTATGCAAGCCAATGCACAAACCACAGCCCGGCTAGTCAGGTACTGACTAGGTATGCCCAGTTTCATCTAAAAGCTGGCAGTTGATTATCTGTTGGTTATTACAGAGATTATACAGATAGTGTGAATTTTCACCTGGGCTGCCTCCTGGGATTCTTGCCATAATATTTACCAGGGTCTTTATTTTGTTTTAAATTTAAAATCAAGCAACATTTGTGGCAGGGGCTGAAGACTTTTCAGACAGCAATAGATTTTCAATAGTAGTTCTTTAACTATTAAGTTGCACTTAGCAGCTTGTATATAACCACAATGACCAGGTTTGGTTCTCAAATTTTACTGCCAAAACTTTAAATGCCATTCATTCCTTGAATGGCTGAGTCTGCAGCATGTTCACACAGCATAATGAAAAAAATGTCACGTTGACCAACAGTTGCTTCCAACTTCGTTATTTCCTATTTGTAGGCTTCATAATCAACTGCTTTCAAATAAGCTGTTTGTAAATAAATGTAGAAACACTACCCTTATCGCCTTTGCTGTCCAAAGCCCCCAAGTTAAAGATTCTTTGATGAGCTCCCAGCCTTGGACCAGGCTTGTCAGGTGCTTAAAAAATTTACCAATTAAAGAGTACATTTTTCTGGCAAAACAGAAAACTTTCCCATTAGTATTTAACGATATGAAGGAGTGTTCAATATTACCCACTGATGGTAACAGCAAATTCCCTTGTGCTTCATTTTTTTTCCTTGGAATTAATTTTGATTTTCCAGTTTTTTGGCCTGACTCGTCATTCATGCATGCATTCACCCACTGCATGCAATACCCACACTAATACTTATCGGTACATTACCTGCTGCTGTCTTACAAGTCCTTATAACATGATTGCTGTACATAGAACCCAATCTGCACGTAACATTCATCCACCAAATGCATATTGGCAGGTTACAGAATAGGTTCACTGGATTGTATTCATCTTTTGTCATTTTGTGGTAAAACTGTAGGTTGGTAGCCAGCAACCACCCAGGGAGGTACTACTGCCCTGCCAAACTAGTTGGACTGAAACCTGTATTTGTTTTACATGGTAGGAGTGCTGGGGTCTTACCTGGAGGTTATTCTGGGGATCAACGCCCCCGTGGCCCGGTCCATGACCAGGCCTCCCGATGGATCAGGGCCTGATCAACTAGGCTGTTACTGCTGGCCGCATGCAGTCCAATGTACGAGCCACAGCCCGGCTGATCCGGCACTGACTTTAGGCATCTGTCCAGCTCTTGAAGGCAGCCAGGGGTTTATTGGCAATTCCCCTAATGCTTGATGGGAGGCTGTTGAATAGTCTTGGGGCCTCGGACACTTATGATGTTTTCCTTTAGTGTACCAATGGCACCCATACTTTTTATTGGGGGCATTTTGCATCGCCTGCCCAGTCTTTTACTTTAGTAGGGAGTGATTTCTGTGTGCAGATTTGGGACCATTCCTTCCAGGATTTTCCAAGTGTAATTATGATATATCTCTCCCTCCTGCGTTCCAACGAGTACAAGTCAAGTGCTTCCAAGCGTTCCCAGTAGTTAAGGTGCTTGACAGAACTTGTACGTGCAGTAAAGGATCTCTGTACACACTAGATCTGATTTCACCTGCTTTGAATGGAGATGTTAATGTACAGCAGTATTCCAGCCTAGAGAGAAGTGATTTGAAAAGGATCATTGGCTTGGCATCTCTCGTTTTGAACGTTCTCATTATCCATCCTATCATTTTCTTTGCACTTGTGATCGTGGCACTGTTGTGATCCTTGAAAGTGAGATCCTCAGACATTACTACTCCCAGGTCCCTTACATTATTTTTCTGCTCTATTGTATGGCCAGAGTGTAGTATACTCTGTTCTAGTTATTATCTTCAGTTTTCCATAACGGAGTAGTTGGAATTTGTCCTCATTGAACATCATATTGTTTACCATTGCCCACTGGAAAACTTTGTTTATATCTTCTTGGAGGTTAACCGCATCCTCAGCAGATGACAGCCTCATGCAGATCCTAGTATCATCCACAAAGGATGATACGGTTCTGTGATGTATATATCTGTCTGATATAAGGATGAGGAATAAGATGATGGCAAGTACTGTGCCTTGTGGAACAGAGCTCTTCACTATGGCAGCCTCCGATTTAACTCTTAACCACTACTGTGTCCGATTTGTTAGAAAGTTGAAGATCCATCTCCCCACTTTCCCAGTTGTTCCTTCAGCACGTATTTTATGGGCTATTACGCCATGATCGCATTTGTCAAATGCTTTTGCAAAGTTGTGTATATTACATCTGCATTCTGATTTTCTTCCAGTGCATCCAAGGCCATGTCAGTGATCCAGTAGTTGAGAGGCAGGAGCGACCTGCCCTGAACCCATGTTGCCCTGGATTGTGCAGATTTTGGGAATCCAGGTGATTTGCAATCCTGCTTCTTAGCACTCTTTCAAAGATCTGATGTGGGACGTCAGAGATATTGCTCTAGTTCTTAGCTAATGCTTTGCTGCCACCTTTATGGAGTGGGGCTATATCCGTTGTTTTAAGGGACGAATTTCACCGATGTCCAAGCTGCTCCTCCATAGTGTACTTAGGGCACACGAGAGGGGTTTCTTG